GAGGACAGGGGGATTTGGGTATAGGAGATGGGTGGAGGACAGAGGGATTTGGATATAGGAGATGGATGGGGGACAGAGGGATTTGGATATAGGTGATGGGTGGAGGACAGGGGGATTTGGGTATAGGAGATGGATGGGGGACAGAGGGATTTGGATATAGGAGATTGGTGGAGGACAGGGGGATTTTGGTATAGAAGATGGGTGGAGGACATGGGGATTTGGGAATAGGAGATGGGTGGAGGACATGGGGATTTGGATATAAGAGATGGGTAGAGGACAGAGGGATTTATATATCGGAGATTGATGGAGGACAAAGTATTTTGGACATAGGAGATGGATGGAGGACAGAGGGGTTTTGGTATGGGAGATGAGTGGAGGACAGAGGGATTTGTACATAGGAGATGAGCGGAGGACAGAGGGATTTGGGTATAGGAGATGGGTGGAGGACAGGGGGGTTTTGGTATAGGAGATGGGTGGAGGACAAAGGGACTTGGGTATAGGATATGGGTGAAGGACAGAGGGGGTTGGGTATAGGAGATGGGTGGAGGAAGGAGGGACTTGGGTATAGGATATGGGTGGAGGACAGAGGGGGTTGGGTATAGGAGATGATTGAAGGACAGGGGGATTTGGATATAAGAGATGGGTAGAGGACAGAGGGATTTGGATATAGGAGATGGGTGGAGGACAGAGGGATTTGGATATAAGAGATGGGTAGAGGACAGAGGGATTTGGATATAGGGGATGGATGGAGGACAGAGGGATTTGGATATAGGAGATGGGTGGAGGACAAAGGGATTTGGATATAGGAGATGGGTGGAGGACAATGGGGTTTTGGTATAGGAGATGGATGGAGGACAGAGGGACTTGGGTATAGGATATGGGTGGAGGACAGAGGGGGTTGGGTATAGGAGATGGGTGGAGGACAGATGGAAGTAGGTAGAGGACAGAAAGATTTGGATATAGGTGATGGACGGAGGACAGAAAGATTTGGATATAGGAGATGGGTGGAGGACAGAAGGATTTGGATATAGGAGATGGGTGGAGGACAGATGGAAGTAGGTAGAGGACAGAAAGATTTGGATATAGGAGATGGGTGGAGGACAAGGGCTTTTGGTATAGGAGATGGGTGGAGGACAGATGGATTCGGGTATAGGAGATGGGCGGAGGACAGAAAGATTTGGATATAGGTGATGGGTGGAGGACAGAGGGATTTGGATATAGGAGATGGACGGAGGACAGATGAAAGTACTGTAGGTAGAAGACAGAGGGATGAAGATAGTTGGTTGAGAGGTTGGTCTCCACGAGGAGAAGTCGGTTTACCTGGCACTCGCACTTTAGTTTCTGCTCCTTCTGGAAGGCCAGGGTGCTGGTGAGGACGGTGGAGGTGTAGCAGAAGCAGTGTTGGATTTTGTGCTCATCCACCTCTGTGTAGCTGGAAGAAGACACACAGAAGATTACATTAATCTTACCCCAGAAGGTCCCAAACACCCTCAAGGGGCCCAAACCAAGCCAACCAATTCACCGATCTCTATGCCCACATAATTTACCATGATGATGGTTCTATTCACCAAGGAGCACCAATAAGAAACTGGAAATCACAGTCACATGGATGAACGTTGGAAGCCTACCGAGTGTGGTGGCTTATTATCAGTGCACATGCCACCTGCCCCCACATGACATTCACACGTTACATGTTTGCTGTATCATATTTCCATCATTATATTACATGACGAGATTACCAGATACTCGCTCTTTGCTATTTCTTTGCAATCACTCGGCTTCCCTATTCGGCAGCTGCTGAGATTGGATCTCAGCGGCAAGGGAAGCGTATTCCTTTCCCATCAGTCAGACCTGACCAGTAGACTTGCATTGATACTGAGGAACTATAAAGCCTTCAGCAGACTTTAGAATGTGGTCAAGACATCCTCGAACACGCGGTCCTTTGACCCGACGCCCATCGCAAAACACAACAGACCCGAGCAGCCGGCTGCTAAACCGTCCATTATCTCTCTGTTATTAATTCTCTGTCAGCTCAGGGAAGAGCCATCTGCCTTCAAGACAGCGGCCCATACATCACGCCAATCACTTGCCCTTCCAAACGGCGCCTACAGATGGAGGAGCGCCTCCTAATGCAGCTCCAGACAGAACATTCATCCTACAATTACACCGTCCCCTCCGCTTCAAAGGTCAGCTTCCCAGACATGTCCGCCCAGCTAAGGAGGAATGCTATGTGTACACAGGAAAGATTGGGGGAGCATCACATGGTGCCACCACCAATACTGCCCCCTATAACAGGAATCATACCCCAGCATCTTTACCCTATCATACCAGGAATATACCCCAGCATGTATACCCCCTCATACCGGGAATATACCCGAGCATGTATTCACCCCATAACAGGAACATACCCCAACATTTATACCTCCCCCCATACCAGAAAGATACCGCAACATATAATTTGCTAGGGCATGTTCCTGGTATGGTGGGGGTATAAATACTGGGGTATGTTCCTGGTATGGTGGGGGTATAAATACTGGAGTATGTTCCTGGTATGGTGGGGGGTATAAATATAGGGGTATGTACCTGGTATGGTGGTGATATAAATGTTGGGGTATGTCCCTGGTATGGTGGAGGGTATAAATACTGGAGTATATTCCTGGTATGGTGGAGGGTATAAATACTGGAGTATATTCCTGGTATGAGGGGGTATACATGCTGGGGCATGTTCCTGGTATGGTGCGGTATAAATGTTGGGGTATGTTCCTGGTATACCCCCGCCCCCCATAACAGGAATCATACCCCAGCATGTATACCCCCTCATACCAGGAATATACCCCAGCATGTATACCCCCCCCCATACCAGGAATATACCCCAGCACTTATACCTCCCCCCATACCAGGAATATACCGCAACATATAATTTGCTAGCGCATGTTCCTGGTATGGTGAAGGTATAAATGTTGGGGTATGTCACGTGTCGGGGCTCACGGGTATAAACTGGAATCGGGTCTGTGGACCCTTTCCACTACACTGGCAGGGACACTCAGAGAAAGGGTGCAAGCAGTGTAGGCTGATGACTCCCAGAGTACAAGCAGGGAACTGAATGAGGCAGTGGAAGACAGAATAGGCTGGCAGGACAAGGTACAGGGCCGGGTGCTGCAATCCTAGGTAGGTGGCATGGGGTCCCCCAGGATGTGGAATCCAAGGGCCAGCCGGTGTTCGTCAAAGCTGCTGATGGTGGAGATGGGCTTGGCTGCGTGCTGAAGGTCACAATCCCTGGGTTCACCCAACTCACCTAACAGCCATGAATGGTTGACAAGGCCGGAAGTTCAGGACAGGTTGCAGACACACATATGAGGGATAAAACAAAGGTCAGGGACAGACGGAGGACCGGGACTTCCAGGGACAATCTGAAGACTGGGATCACCAGGGACAAGTCAAAGGTCAGGGCAGAGTGAGGACAAGGATCACCAGGGACAAGTCAAAGTTCAGGACAGACTGAGGACAAGGATCACCAGGGACAAGTCAAAGTTCAGGACAGACTGAGGACAAGGATCTCCAGGGACAAGTCAAAGGTCGGTCCATGGAAAAACGACAAGGCGCCCTAGGAAAGACCAGCTATTTGCACCCCCCAGCCCCCCCTCCTGTAGCACAACCCCCCAATCCTCCCTGCACGGCTCCATTCTCCTGCTGGCTTGTTTCCGCAGGCGACAGGTGGATGTCGGGAGCCAGGAGCAATAGCCAGACTGCTATTGGCTGTTTTAATTAAGTTGTCTCTCAGTTTCTGCTCCTCTGCTCAGTGAGCGGGTGCAATAGCCAGTATGCTATTGACTTTTGCAATTTGAAATAGACGGGGGGGCGCCGTGGGGGGGGGAGTGGTCAAGGCTGCGCCTTAGGCAGAAGTGCGCCCTGGGTGGCTGCCTAGTTTGCCTAGTGGAAGCACCGGCCCTGCATTCAGCACCGGCCCTGCATTCAGCACCGGCCCTGCATTCAGGTTCAATCACAAACAAGGGGCTCGGCACCTAGCTTAGGAAAGCGTTGCTCGGGCCGCGTGCCGTTCGCTGCCCTGGGTTTGAATAGAGACAGGAAGAGGGAGGATCCACAGGATTGGCCACCGGCGGACTGCACTGATTGGCCGAGAAGCTGCATAAGAAACAGCAGGTTGTCCGACGCCTAAAGCTGCCAGACTGGTGCAAGAGCGAGTCAGGTTCAGAGCACATGCCTGGAGGACTACAAGCACCAGCACAGCCCGGCATGCCTGCAGAATCAGGGGTAAGAGGTCTGTATATACCTGTAGAACTACAAGTAACAGCTCAGCTGCAAGCCTGCAGCCGGACTGTGACATATACACAATTATTGTAAGTAAGCCGACACAGTGTAACGCCTAAAACTCTAAACTTCGTACTTATGCAAAAGAAATGCGGCAAAAGCCAATCAAGATAAAAAGCTAAGACACAAAAATTGCCGTTTTTCAGGGAACGCGGCGCGCTGAGAAGCCGCCACTCAGCAGCCGCTATCTGATTAGGGCGTGCTGAGATCTCTCCTGCCGCTATAACAGAGTCGGCCCGCCAAATCTTTTAATCGCTTTCACATCCAGACAGAGAATTAGGTGCTCGCAGTCTGTGCAAGCCGCGGGATTAGCCTCATGCAAACTACTAATCAGGAGGAGCCGCCAGACTCGGAGCTCCCCATCAAGAGGGATCCGTTCCCTGCGAGTGGATGAGACGCTGGGAGCGAGCGGATCAGGTTAATGCCGCGCACTCCGCTCTAACGCACTGACGGCTCTGCACATATTTACAGCGTAATGCGACATTTGGGTGCGTTGTCAGGAATCAAATCAAGGGGATTTTCACCTATAGCCAGATGCCGGGAGGTGCTGTTGTGACCCTTTCCTTCCTGGATCGCCGTGAAGTGCACACAAACATAAGCGATCACATGTTTGAGTGTTGTGCGCACTAGGTTACTTGTGTACTATATGTATCCAGGGCCGGATTTACTCTCCCTGCCGCGCCAAGGCCAGGTCCTGTGATGCGCCCCCCCCCCTGCGAACTCCCCCTCCCTTCCCATCAATGGAGAATGGCAACCAGATGGCAGGGCGGCGGGGTTAGTGTCAATTTTTTTTTACTGTTTCTTAATTTTTCTAAACACTTTTTTATCACTTTTTATTTTTTTATTTAATTATTTCTTCTAATTTTTATTTATTTCCTAATTTTTTCATCAATTAAATTTTTTTTAGATTTGTATTCATCTTATTTACTTTTTTTTACAATTTTTTTATCTTATTATTGCTTATTTTTTTATAATTATTTTCTTATTTTTTAATAATTTGTTTATTTTTTACTTTTTAATTACCTTTTAATTTTTTTATTT